ATTACTTGCCCATAGCACTTCTAAAATGCAATTGAACGTATGTCTGCCATTTTTGATTAGATCCAGTTCTGCTTCCTGGGAGTGATTCTGTGTGGTTCCTGGCTTTACTCCTTGGACTCGGCTCTGCATTCTGAGTCGTTCTTCCTTTTCCATAAGAAATGGCACATGTTTGCAATGGAATAGCTTTCTCAGATACTTCCTGCTTATAGAAGCTTGAGATTCTTGACTCTTCATTTTGAACTGTTTCCTTTTTTAGTCCAAGTGGATGGTGATTCTTGTAGTACTATTGTCTTAAAAATGCTGTGGCTTTTCTGTGAATCATATTGTGGTTTACTCCATTAGACAAAAGTCACACTCACGAATCTCTTTGAGACAGGCTCTTCTCTATGTTGGGCTGTTTATAAGTCTGCTATGGTATAACACCTTTAAGATTCTTAAACTATTAGTTTATATGAGATGGTCTATAAGGTACTGCCTTAAATCTTTCTGAGGTTATAGCAAGGTCTTATAACCACACGCTTGTGACTGCCCTGAGACCGTGTTTTACTAGAAAACTCTTGAATTTGATATTTGCTATAAGGCCATTTTTACTTTGAGAACCTTTTAGTGGGAGAGGTTGGGAATGAGAAATAGTTTTGTTTTTGTGTCATCAAGTCATGGCTCCTTTATATTTTCCCTAAATTCTGCTTAAAAACTGAACACTTCCTTCTTGAGTGTTTCTCTCTCTATCCATACCTTGTTATTGAGGCTACGATAAACCAGGTGGCACCTTCAACACTCATCCTGGAAAACTCCTTCACCAGATCCACTTTTTGTATTTTTCATGTTACTGCAGGGGATGGTTTTAACTGAACTTTATGCCACTATGTAACATGGGTCTTTTCTCCAACTTCCAATAACAACTCACTGTTTCTGCAGCCTCCACTAACAAGTCTTCCTGAGGCCCTTCAGGCCTCCACTCAATGCCTGGTCCTGATGCAAATGCACAAATTTCTGTTCAGGTTATCTGTTCTTGTGCAACAAAACTATGCCCAAACTTAGTGACTTAAAACAGTCATTGTAATTTTTACATAATTTTGTGGAGCGGGAATTTGGAAGAGCTTAGCTGGACATCAGCTGGGGCTGCTGAGGCTGGAGGATCCACCTCCAGATGACTTCTTCATTCACAAGTCTGGAGCTTTAGTGCTCCTTGACCTCAGTTTCTTTCCATGCAGTGTCTCATCTTCTCCGGCATCTTCCTGTCACTTATGTGTCTCACAGCATGCTGGTCTCAGGGTAGTCTCACTTCTTACATGATGGCTGGGTTCCAAGAGGGAGCTTTGCAGGAATGAATGATACAACAGTGAGAGTTCTAAGAAGCAGGAAGAGAGTTCCAGACCAGTTAAGGGCTAGTTACCAGAACCGGCACACTTTCGTTTCTGCTGTCTTCTATTTATTAAAGCAATTAGAGGGGGCTCACCCAGAACTCAGAAGAGTAGAGAAATACACTCTCTCTCTTGACAGGGTAGTGGCAAGCTCACATTGCAGAAGAGCATGTGGGTGGGAGGTACTGTTGTATAACATCTTTGCAAGTATAGTCCGCCACAGGGATGCAATTTCATTTTTCCCAAATGGATAACCAGTTGGACCAGAACTCTTTATTGAGCAGTCCATACAGATCTGTAATGTCTGTTCTGTCATAAATCAGATTTCTAAATATGTGTGTGTGTTTGTTTTGAATTGTCTGTCTAGGCCCATGGTTTCAACTGGGGACCATTTTGTAGGGGACAATATTTGGAGACATTTTTGGTTGTCACACTTGGGAAGGGGTACTACTAGCATCTGGTGGATAGAAGCCAGGGATGCTGGTAAATATCCAACAATGCGCAAGACAGCCCCCACAACAGAATTATCCAGCCCAAAAGTCAATAATGCTGAGGTTGAGAAACCATGGTTTATGCCATCAGTATTGCCCTACTGTACTATCTTAATTAGCCTTGATAGCTGGTAGGGCAAGTCACCTCACTTTGTTTTTCTTCTTTGAGAATGTCTTATTTTTGGCCCCTTGCATTTCCATATAAATTTTAGAATCAGTTTATCATGTTTCATGAAGAACTCTTTATATTTTGATTGGAATTTCATTGTAACTATATAGCTCTATGAGGAAAATTGACACTTTATGATATTGAATCTTCTTATTCACCAACATGATATATCTATCAATTTAGTTCTTTAATGTCTTTCAATAATATTTTATAATTTTCTTATTAAAGGCCTTGCAAATCTTTTGTGCGAGATTTGCTCTCTTGGTCAGTTAGTGAGGCTTTTAATACTTTGCTTTCCTCTTTTGGGCCTTAATTTCCCTAAGTGAAAAATGTGACATTTGGATTAGATCATCTCTAACAGGATTTCAAGCCGGGTTGACATGATTAAAATGTTAGAATTAAATTGAAAACTTTCAATGCACAAAATAAAAGTCCACTAGAGGGAGCTCTTCTCCATTTCATCTCAGGCCAGGTTGCCAGACTGCTGTGAAGATACCAGCTCCCAATAGTGGAAGTTAGGGAAAAGACCTCATCTTCTCAGGGTGGAGGGAAAAACCAACTCTCTGGTGTCTCTTCAATCACAGTTCTCTACATAAGAAATTCTGCTTCGGTCTTTGGAAGATATTGCTTGTTTCTGGGTGTGGGAATACAAGAAATATGTTTTGAACCTAGGAGGAAATTTATAGATCATCCACTTTAATTCCTTCATTTGACAAATGAATAAACTATGATTTAAAAACACTGTTACTTTCCAGAGGACACACAGACACTTTGTGAGAGACTCAAGGCTGGAACTTAGGTTCACACGTAGTTGAGGGAATGGGGAGGAAGAGGGCGTAAGCCGTGGGTATTACAGTGGGGTGGGGATAGGGATTGTGTTTATTTTTTAAAGGACCGAGAGGTGGGTGGTCTGTGAATTTCCTGGAGTTATATGCAATATTGCATGTGTATGTAAATGTGAGAGTGTGTGTGTATGTGAGTGTATGTGTGTGTGTTCATACATGCTATACTTTGACTGGAAATAGGACTTTTGTTGTGATTGTTGGCTTCCAACAAATAGGATTGGACTACTGTAAGCCAGCCTTTACCTACAAACTAGGATAACTTTCACTGGCTTTAGTAATTCATTTAATTTATATTTTGGAATCATTTGGAAATAACCTGCCTTGGTAACTTGATTACCAAAAATTAAAGCAATCTTTCAGTTTATTTATCTTTAACTTGATTTAATGATTTCCAGACCTCATTTTTTTCTTTCTGACTCAAAACTGACTTTTCAAATAAAGTGCAGTTATTGGATGTTGTTTTCAGAGAAGATGAAACTCAACTTCTCTCTGTTAGTCATCCTTTTTCAAGTCTATTGTGACTGATTTTGAAACGTTTCTCCATAGTGTGCTTATTATTTGTGATTCTCCTGATTCACCTAGGTACAAACTTTTCCTGTAGACTGTAGACATTTTAAAATTCTTTATTTCTGCATTTGCCTTAGGAATAAGATCTTTATAGTTTATTTGGATTATTTTTTCTATGGATATCATGGACAAGATTTTAAGCCTTTTTTTGGCTTAAATAAATAAAAAATCAAAATAAAAAGTCAACTACTGACTTCTTTGTCAACATTAAGAACTAGAGTTCTTGCATTGCTTTTTTAATGCAATGCAATGTATTCTTTTCTAACAAGCTAACAGGAAATGATCATCTGAGAAAAATATATATTTAATTACTTTTCTGTTGTTCTTTATCAGGTATGGTCTAGACCAGTTTAACAAGGGTTAGATTGTATTTAGGCTTCTATGTGTTAGTCCAAGGAATGATGCTCTTGGTACCTAGGAGGGATAGGAGCAGAGGAGGAGTATCAAAATGCAGAATAAGGACATTGGACAGCTTTCTTCCTCCTCTGAGATGGATTTCTAGACCGAGGCTTCAATCTCAGTGCGAAGTGTTGGATATTCTAGGAAAGGACGATTAATCTTTATTAGAAATAGTTATAAAAATGAATATTAGGCCAAATGATTTTTGTGCTAATATACTCTTTCTTAGCAAGTATTACTGAGGATTTATCTGTCAATAATTTCTATTTGCATACTTACCATCTATAAATTTCAGCTGGAGTTATGAGGCAGTAATGATTTTGAGCTGGGTGGTGGAAATGGCTTACCCTAGCATTCCATTAAGAACGTCTTTAATCATGAAAATCAGATGATAAGAGAACAAGTTTTGGGGCTGGTCCCCTGGCATAGCAGTTAAGTGCATGCGCTCTGCTGCTGGCGGCCCGGGTGCGGATCCTGGGCACGCGCCGATGCACTGCTTGTCAGGCCGTTCTGTGGCGGCATCCCATATAAAGTGGAGGAAGATGAGCATGGATGTTAGCCCAGGGCCAATCTTCCTCAGTAAAAAAAGGGGAGGATTGGCATGAATGTTAGCTCAGCGCTGATCTTCCTCACACACACCAAAAAAGAGAACAAGTTTTATTTATTTATTTAAAAATATGTCACGTGTTTTGATTCTTGTTTTTCTTTTTTTTTGTGAGGAACATCAGCTTTGAGCTAACATCCGTGCCAATCCTCCTCTTTTTTTTTTGCTGAGGAAGACTGGCCCTGGGCTAACATCCGTGCCCATCTTCCTTCACTTTACGTGGGATACTGCCACAGTGTGGCCTGACAAGCAGTGCTTTGGTGTGCGCCTGGGATCTGAACCCAGGCTTCCAGCAGCAGAGCATGCACACTTAACCACTACGCCACGGGGCTGGCCCCTGATTCTTGTTTTTCTTCATAAATATTATTTGATGAGCATAATAAATGAATATTTTTAAAAGATCATATATTGTTGTGTACAATTAGTCATGTGTAATGATTTGATTAAGTATGAACTCATTTATTAACTGAGTAATAGTCCCCTCCAGAGGTGGAGACTATTGTTAAAATATTTGTGTCTCCCACTGACTGCAATAACAGAGATTTTCTTCTTGGTTTCTAGGTTTCCTCCTTCCTCACCCCTGAAACCATATCCAAAGAAGCCCCCGTACCAAAAGGATGTTATTAAATTTCCAGAATGGAATGACCTGCCACCAGGCACTTCACAAGAGAACATCCCAGTGAGGCCGGTTGTGATGGTAAGTGCCGTTACTGAAAGACGGAGGGCTGGCGGCAGGGAGAAATCAGAAGTAGTCTGTGAAGCACCAGGCTTAGTCTACTTCTTTCTGTCGGTTCCTTATGAACAGTGGTCTGAAAATACTAGTCTTACCTGTCAAGAGCTGAGAGACCAGAAACAAAGAAAGATTGGCTTTTGCATTTTTTCATACTTGCTTGTTGATGTTTTGACTGAATATATGGTAGCTGTTTTCACATGTTCCGACTGAGCAAGTTTCTGTTAAAACTCCCTTATAATCTCCTTTTCCTTTCAGTTTGATAATTTACTCTTTTCCCTCTTTGTCTCTTCCTCCTGAACTTTGTTATAGTTTTTACCAGTTGAGAGTGAGAAGATTGGGGCATGGAGTCTTGTGGCATGACCCCTGACAATGTAGGAACAAAGGTAGATTCTGCTAGTCTTGGAAAACCTAAGCTCTTTGTAGAATAAACTACCTTTTTCTGGGCGTACTCTTTCCTTAAAATATCCCCAGTAGAAGATTACCAAGATTGAGATAATGCTAGGAAATAAAATACAGAGAAAAACTTTTAGACAGTTTTTAAGATTTGTACTGACACCAATGTTTTAAGTTAATCTAGTCTTATAGGACTAGATGTCCACTTTATACTTTTGTTTGCAAAGATATGATGTAAACATTTTTAGGCAATGTAATTAAAAGAAAAAACAATTAAAAAAATAGGTTGTATTATATCTCAGTTTGGAGAGACTAGTTAAGCAGCTTAGGCTTTATTAAAGATAATTCAAGAAAGAGTGACACCAGTGACAGACATGAGGACTCTGTAAGGGCTTGCAGATTTGTCAGGGACAGTGATGAATTTGGTTTTAAATATGTTTGATGGTAAAGGTGGGTTGTATGAAATGGAAATGTCTAACAGGCGCATGGAGATAATGGCCCTGGGACTTAGAGGAGAGGTCATATTTGGAAGTCATTAATTTGTTGAGTGTCTGCCGTCTGTTACGCATTGTGCCGGGCTCCACAGATGCAGTAATAAGTGATACAGTTTTTGCTATAAAAGGGCTCATCGTCTAGTGAAGCATATAATACAAAAATAGATTATTAGAAGACAAGGTGGAACTGCTGTGAAAGAGTGAGCACAAAGGGTATTTGAAGACTATTTAATTCATTACAAATGAGAAGTACTTAATTAATGTCTAGTCGATAGTTCCTGTCCTAGAGAAAATTAAAATAGAAGTTTATGAGATCAGGGACTTTTTTTTGAACATTCATATTTAAACACCTCATATGACTTTATCAATAGAGTAGTTATTCAGCAGGCATTTTTTTCATTTTAAGGTTATCCAATGTTGTTCATACAAAAAAAAGAGATAAAATCCCATATTAAATGAATGTGTATTTCTATTGTCAATATAATAACTTCCTTTTTCTGTTCTACTTAGTTCTGTGATGTTGTGATTTTCCTAGTGTCACCTCTGGGAAGACCAGCTGCTCATTAGCATGCTTGAATGGGCCAATGACAATGACTTCTATCTTCTCTTTTCAGTTTCACATTTTTCAGGAGCCTTGAAGTGGTATACCAATGTCCTGATTCATCAACCATTCCCCCTAGAGTGTATCATTTTTCTGGTCATCTGTATCTTTATTTCTTTTGATACCGTTTGTCTTGCTTGTTCTCACCTGTCCCCCTTAAATGAAGTAGTACAGGTTTGAGCTCACTGCTTGTTATAATTCCACTGAAGCTTGGGCTGCTGCTTTTGAGGATTGTCCAAAGGAAGGATGGCAGAGCAGGATCTGTGTCCCCGGTGGGGCCTTGATGCAGGTTTTAGAATGATGAGGTTAATAGACAATAAAGAAACAATTCATCCTTCTTAAAGAACTTGAGCTCATCATTCATTTCTTCTCTCTTACTTTCCCTCTTTCTATCTCTGCCTCCACTTCGCTTGTTGCTTTTGTTTTGTCCTGTCTTCTCTCTTGCCTAGCCATTATATTTATAATATAATAAATATAATAAATATAATATAATATAATATAATATAATATAATATAATATATGAAATGAAATAAAAATTTGTTGTGTTTGCTGAGGGGCAGTATGATGTGGGCAGTAGGAGGGTGGGCTCCGGAGCCAGGCTGCTGGGTTTGACCTTGGCTTCTCCATTTACGTGCTATTTGAGCTTGTTTCTCTGCTTCATTCACTGTGTTTGTGTCTCAGTTTTCTTTTCGGTGGAGCTGGGATGATAATACCCCTCTGGTGTAGGGTTGTTGTGAGAATCCAGTGAGTTCATACCTGTAAAGTGTTTAGAATGGTGCCTGGCACACAGGTACTCAGTTAACTGTTAACTGCTCTTGCTGTTATTATTGTATTTAGTAGACTTGTTCATAGGCAGAGACAAAAGAAACAAAATTACCTGTAATATCATACAGAGGAATTAATATTAACATTTTTGTTGTGTATCCTTTTTTCCCTGCATGTTTTTAATATCAAAATGAGATCATGCTGAGCTGTTTTATGGCCTATGTTCTTCACTTAGAACAGTGTGTTATGCCCATTTTTTCATGTTATTAAACATTCAATATCATTTTTAATATCTGGATCATATCTAATACAAAAGTAATATATTTTATTTTTCCAGTCCTTTACTGTTAGATGTGTACGTGTTTCCAATTTTTCAGTATATGAACAATGCAGTAAGCAATATCTTTACAGATAAATAGTTGAATATATCCATGAGTATTTAAGATAACTTTTGGAAGTGGATTTGCTAAGCAAAATGAACAACATCTATACCTGCCCTTCAAAAATGAATACCTGATTTATATACTTAAAAAAAGTTCACAAATCCATGTGGCCTTTGAATTTCTTTTGTAATTCAGTAATTCTCCAAAAATAAAGCCAAAAGCCAAATCAAACAATAACTTTCCAGCATCTGTTTTCCAAATTAATTAGATTTTTCTATAATGATACTTTTGCAAAACACTATTATGGAAACTCTTTGTAAATGATTTCTTATATTGCTTGCCTTTAAAAGATCAAAGTTCCTCTCTGTGATTACCAAAAGGAAGTTTTAAGACTTAACGTCTAGTAGCCTAAATTTTAGAAAGGAGATACTAAGAATGCTGAAGTGGTAAAGTTGCGTGACTTGGAACAGATTATGTAACCTCTCTGAGCTTCAGTTTTTCTGCGTGCCGTCTGCAGCTGTCTGTGGAGCTCTTATTTCTCCCGCCTTCTGCAGATGCCTGAGATCTGTCAGCTGCTACCCAACATTGTGTGTATCTTTGCTTATAAAAAATAGAGAGTTCCTGAAAGTAATAGACTTCAACTTTATTTTAAACAATCACTCAATTTGGACAGTGTGTGAATGGATAGGTATTCCTCAACTTAATTTTGAATTAGTAAAATTTTATTTCACTGCAAATTCACTGATAAGTTGGAATTCCCACAGGAAAAAATAGCTGGTTAATGTCATGCTTATTGCCATAGCTCTTTTGTAATTCATGAATATTCATTTATACTATGACCTAATCTTTAAGAGTTAGACTTTACTTCTGTACAGCCCATGCAAAGGAAGTTAGTTTACATTTTTAGTTATTTTAAATCTAATTAAAAATAACCAAATCAAAAGAATTTCTCATAAAATCATACCACTGTCTATTGAAGTATTTATTCTCTCTTCCCTCCCCCGATTAGAATTCTGAGATGTGGTACAAGCGTCACAGCATTGCTATTGGGGAGGTTCCCGCGTGCCGTCTCGTCTACCGCAGACAGCTGACAGAGGCCCACGTCGAAGAGATATGGAAGTCCATGACATTAGCGTAGTATGTGCATTTGATGTTAATGAGAACTTTTAGTGTTTTTTTTTTCTGTTTTGCTTTTTCACTACTCTGCATATTTAATTTTCTGAAATGTATAAAAATCTGAACTTTGTGTCATTTGCAGCTATGCTGCTTAGCAAACATAATTTAGCTGAATTCTGGGAATTTTCCTATTGTCATTTATATAATAGTTAAGCGTAAAAGTTTAAAAGCTCTTAAACTTTCTAGTAATACTGAAATCTTAAGCTTAATGAAACACGTAATGGAAAATTTGGTCTCCTAGATATTTGATGCACTATAGATAATTAAATTTAATGATGTTATAGCCAGTTTTTTTTTTTCTCACGAAGATGTACTAGTAGCAGTTCCTCATCATTGGATAAGTGAGCTTTTGTTTTTATAATATCTTTACTTATAAAATCATTTTCTTGGCATTCAAGTGTTATGTTTTAAATTAGTGAAGCAATATGTTAATGGCAAAAGGATGTCTTTTAAATTTGTTTTATCATACTGAATTTTTAGCCTTTTTGCTCCACAAAGATTGGGTGAAATGTATGAAAACAACACATTTTAAAGATTGATTTTTTTACAGTGCCAGGTTTTTGGATAAATAATGATTTTTGTTTTTGGTGAGGAAGATCAGCCCTAAGCTAACATCTGATGCCAATCCTCCTCTTTTTTGCTGAGGAAGATTGGCCCCAGGCTAACATCTGTGCCTATATTCCTCTACTTTATATGGGAGCCACCACAGCATGGCTTGACAAGTGGTGCGTGGGTGTGCGCCTGGAATCCGAACCTGTGAACACCGGGCTGCTGAAGTGGAGTGTGCGCACTTAACCGCTGTGCCACTGGGCTGGCCCAATGATTTTTTAAAAGTAATTAATTAACTTAATTTTTATTTATCTTTTTAGTTTACAGAAAATCCTTGGCTTGGATTCCCTAGAAGAAATTTTAGACATTAAGTTAGTCAACTCCAAGTTCATCATCCACAATGTATACAGTGTGAGCAAGCAGGGCTTCGTTATCCTTGATGACAAGTCAAGTAAGTGCATAAAAACCATTTTGCGTTGGCTGGATAGGTCCATCAGCTACTATTTGACCCTTCCCTAACCCATAAATAAATTCACCCCCTTTTACATGTAGCCCTCTCTCACTTCCTAATACCTTTAAACTAATTGTTTGGATTAAGGAAATGTCATAGAAAGATGAATATCCAGGAGTGAAAGCCTCGGTAAAATCCATTCAGAGGCTCGTTCAGTGTCAGCCACGCTGAGTGTTAAGTGGTTCCATATCACCCCTGGAAGATCCCTGAAAAGTGAGTAAGTTTAAGACCTAACTGAGAGCTGAGTCAGTTTTCAAGTGGGTCCTGGGGTCTGATTGATTTTAGGGTTCTCGTTGACTTTTCGTGATGGTATCTCTGTGTCAGATTTTCTGGGATAGCCTTGGTTTATGTCATTTTTTTCTTTTTAATGAAGGTAGCTCTTTAAACGTTGATGACGCTTTAATTTTTTATATCTTTTCCTCCAAGCCAGTTTACAATTCTGGAAAAAAATACAGTTAGTAGTTACCTATCCTGGTTTTTGATTTGGAAAAATAAGGTCATGGTACCTGTAGTGGGCGGAATCCCCAACCTGATTTTAAGACTTCTTCCCCTGGATAAGGGATGGACCAGAACTGGAAGGGCTCTTTGGTTCTTCCTCTACTTCAGACCCTTGATCCTGGGAATTGGCTAGAACTAGAATGACCTTGGATATGGGAAGATGGTATATACTTTAAGGTTTTTATAAATTATTGTTAAATTTAGGGCTGGAGGCTCCTGGGCAGCCGACGGAGCTGTTCCAGAAGGAGCCTGAGCGGTTGTGAGAAGGGAAGAGGTTTTTCCAGGCCGTTTCCTGACAGGAGCAGAATGTGTCTTTGGAACTTGAAACGCTTCCCTGTTTTTAGCCCCTGTATCAGGAATGGAGGACATCAGGAAACACTCATTAGTTGTCAGGTTATAATATCAACATGTAAAATTAAGTTACATAGAATGAGGGGAGTGTTGCCTTTGAAATACATCTAAAATTCTTCTATGTTCTCTGAATACAATAAAGATTAATACTTTTAGCTACCAGTTAGATGACCAGTCATCTTTCGTTTTATTAAGTAAGTTTTTCAGAAAGAAGAGAGCACCTCACAAGGCTCAGGTTCATTAGATCTAACACAGTTCAGCTAGCGTCTTCGCAGTTTTGCAGACAGTGGGGAAGATGAAGTGGAAGCAAGTGCTGACCCGTCTCAGCAGGTGTCTGGGGCAGGGCCAGGAGGGAAGAGGCTCTGTGCCAAATGGCTCAGCTGGGATTTTTTGTGGCAATGTTAACCATTATTATTTTAAGGCTGTCCTAATACTAAGGGCCTGTATTAATATGTTAGTGGAACTTTCTGGCCCTAAAACATTTTGAAAATTGAAACATGTAAGATGATACTTACATTGGACGTTGGATATACAGAATTTACTTTTTTTCTTAGGTGTTTGGTGAACTGGTTTCACAAATGAGTTTGATGACTTATATTTTTGCTTTTTCTGTTTTTTCTCTTCCTTCTCTAATTCTTAGAGTAATTGATTTGTTTGTTCCTTTGTTTCTTTGAAACAAACTATCATATTTCTTCTTTTCACTAAAGCTTTAAAAAGTGCATCTTTTCCTTGCAGAAATTTGCAGGCACGATTTATACAAGCACATGTTGTAACACTGCTGCTAAGGAAAAATTTCTGTCTTTTATTTATTTATTTTTTTAAATAATTTTATTTATTTATTTATTTATTTTCCCCAAAGCCCCAGTGGAGAGTTGTATGTCATAGATGCACATCCTTCTAGTTGCTGTACGTGGGACGCAGCCTCAGCATGGCCGGAGAAGCGGTGCGTCGGTGCGCGCCCGGGATCCGAACCCGGGCCGCCAGCAGTGGAGCACGCGCACTTAACCGCTAAGCCATGTCGCCGGCCCCAAAATTTCTGTCTTTCAAAAGTTCTGCTACATAAATAGGTGATTTCTGATTAGCAGATGTTTCATATCACTTGGACAAGTAATATATTCTTATGATACCAAGTATGTATGTAATTCCTTGAGTTACATGCAATTGAATAACATATCTTCTTTTTATTTTCATTTTCCTGCAGAAGAGCTTCCTCATTGGGTAATGTCAGCTATGACGTGTTTGGCAAATTGTAAGTACTAATTATCTGCCAGTCTTATGAGGTTAACAGAAATTAGTGCCCTGAATTAGAAAATATTTTTGCCCAATGGCCTGAACATTGATTTGACACCTGTGAGACTGGCAGTTAATTGTTTTGAGGCTACTGTGCTTTTAGTGATAAATTTGTGACTTAGTGAAAGGGCTGAGTTATAGAACATTTTTAAAGGAATTTCGTGCTTCTATTATCTAGTGGATATAATAAAGTCCACACTGCTTCTTCTGACTGCTTCATCACAAGAAAGAAAAATTAGTAATATTGAATGTAATACTGTGACAGATAGCTTCCTATTAACACTTTATATGTTTTTATTCCTAAAACATATATTTTTATTCCTAAAAGGTATATTCCTAAATATGCTCTATATTTACAGCATCACTTTGCTCCGTAGATCCTGTCTACTATTGGCTTTTTATAGGGCAATAGTTTAAGTAGGAGAGAAATGTTTTAGAAGACTAGTCTAACTGGTATGCAAGATGGTTGGGAAGGAGAAGAACCTGCATGCAAACAGGAAGGGCTGTTTCAGTAATTTGGTTTTGAGATGAGGGGGCCTGGACAGGGTGGTCCCTCTGAGGCTTTTCATAGGCGTTTGAAATCCATTTCACAGGCATATGATATCTGCTCATTGGCTATCACGGGTACTGTGAAGGAATGAGTTATTACAGTATCTTACTAGCACTACCATTTTTCTGTGGATTTTTAGAAGGGTTAACCCAAAGAAGGGATTTTTTTTTTTTTTTTTTTTTTTTTTTTTTAAAGATTTTATTTATTCAGTTTTTTCCCCCCAAAGCCCCAGTAGATAGTTGTATGTCATAGGTTCACATCCTTCTAGTTGCTGTACGTGGGACTCGGCCTCGCGTTGGACGGAGAAGTGGTGCCTCAGGGCGCTCCCGGGATCCGAACCCAGGCCGCCAGCATCAGAGCGCGCGCACTTAACCGCTAAGCCACGGGGCCGGCCAAAGAAGGGATACTTGATTAACCATTGTTAATGGCTTAATCCAAACAAGTGATTTTAATGGGAAGAATTCTAGTTATTTTTGCTGACTGATAATGGTGATATTTGGTCTATGTGGCTTTTTGAGCCTCACAGATCACCTCAGAGGTAGTTTCTTTCCTTTTGGGCAAGACTAGCATGTACACAGATAGGTGTATAAATTCTTGAATTAGTGGACTCTGAATTATTTATTTAACTGAAGTTAGTTTTGTTTGATTATAGAATGAAACTAAAATAACTTCAGCTTACTGTGGCTGATCCCAGTGGTAATATATAGAAAATGATTATATACTGTTATTCTGAATATGAATAGCAACATTAGTTTGTGTGAAGCCCAAAGTTCTCTGTGTTTAATTATTAAAATTTTCATTGTTTCTTATTTAATATTTTGGAAGCTTTGAAATGTAGAGTACTGTGGTTTTAGCTTGGGGAGTGCTTTTTATTCATCTTGGTCAATCATTTGAAGTGAATTAAATTTAAATTATAACTTTCGCCAGAGTTGGCAATGAGAAGATAGAAGGTATAAATGGAAAGTTAAATTACCCATTTCCGAATTCCTGGCAAACTAAGGCTTTGGAAGTTGATCAGCTGAGAATGAACAGACAAAGCGAGTATAACAAATTTGGCTATATTTTGTAAAGTGTATATTTAGGTGTGGTTACGATGTTGAGTTTTCAGTGATGATCAAAATGTAGTGAAGAGTCTAATTGTCCCTCAAGCAAGATGTATACATAAAGCCACAAAACTTCTGCAGAAAGGTTAGAGTAACTGGAATTATTGATGGAGAGGGAAAATGTGAGGAACGACTTAGTAATGTCCTGCATGTGTGTGGGTGGTGTTCTATTAGGTGGAAATTCCTGGGCACAGGGACATGTCTCACATGTGTCAAGTGCAGTGCTTTATGGCTGGTGGGCATATCCACAAAGACGCTTGTTTGTGTGTCACAGAAGAACAAATGGCCAAAGGGCAAGGTCAGCCTTTTGAATAGTTTTATAGAATCATTAATTTTTCCAAATTCTCATTGGACCCCCCAAATTTACTTTTGAGTCTTGACCTATTCCTTGTCTTCCTTATCCTTAATGAGTCTAGATTCCCATTACTGTCATCTAATAGAAGACAGAAAGGAGAGGCTGATTATATGGTATTTTGAAGGCCTCTGGCCTCCTTTCTGTGGGTTTACTGCCCCATCTTTTCTTTAGGTCCATCAGCATTCATTGTGGACTATGTGCACATAGGCCCGGGTACTTTCGTTGCTGCCCAGCCTCATGGTTGGCCACAGAATGAGGGACTGATGCTAAATAAATACAAAACCAGGTTAACTGTGTTTTTCTTCTTCGTGCATGTAGATTGCAAGAATTCAATCAAAAATGGATATAAACAATTTTTTTCCAAAAATCTGTCAGGAATAACGTTTATAAAAAACTAGATTTAAAAGAAATATCCTGAAGTTCAAGATGATTAAGAAACAAAAGATCTTAGAAATATGGCCTGCTCTCATAGGGCTCACACTGGCATTTTTAGGGAACCCTGTTTTTGTTTGTTTTTGCATATTTATATCAAGAATGATGAAATGTCCACAAAGGGTTACAACTGCTTAGAATGAGCTCCATACTTACTCTGGGAGGGAGTATTTCAAGGCAATATGTATTGCTTTCTCTGACATATTAAACTGATTATTTCATCTAATTAAGCTTTCAGAGGAGGAAGCAAGCAAAAATGGTGACTATGTTTGCTGATAGGTTAACATGGCACCACACATATAGATCTTTCATAATTTTCATTATTTTAGTCAATCAAATTAAGTTATTTTATAAGGAGTGTACAGGATATTAAAAGGTAAGAGAGGTTTTTTTTGAGTTATTTTATTGAGGTCATAGTGGTTTATAACTTTGTGTAATTTCAGGTGTACATTATTATTTATCAGTTTCTGTATAGACTGCATCGTGCTCACCACCAGTAGTCTAATTTTTATCCGTCACCATATATATGTGCCCCTTTACCCCTTTCACTCACCCCCTAACCCCATCCTCTCTGGTTACCGCTAATCTGTTCTCTTTACGTGTGTGTTTATCTTCCACATGTGGGTGAAATCATGCGGTGTTTGTCTTTCTCTGTCTGGCTTATTTCGCTTTACATCATACCCTCCAGGTCCATCCATGTTTTTGCAAATGGGACAATTTCATCTTTATATACCGTATTTTCTTATCCATTCGTCCATAGAAGGGCACTTGGGTTGCTTCCACATCTTGGCTATTGTGAATAATGCTGCAATGAACATACATAGGAGTACATAAATATCATTGGATTGTTGATTTCAAATTCTTTGGGTTTGGAAATACTGGATATTTTCCAGTAGTGGGATAGCTGGATCATGTGGTATTTCTGTTTTTAATTTTTTGAGAAATTTCCATACTGTTTTCCATAGTGGCTGCACCAGTTTGCATTCCCACCAGCAGTGTATGAGGGTTCCCTTTTCTCCACATCCTCCCCAACATTTGTTGCTTTTTGTCTTGGTATTTATAGCCATTCTGACGTGTGTAAGTGATATCTCCTTGTAGTTTTGATTTGCATTTCCCTAATACTTAGTGACGTTGAACATCTTTTGATGTGCCTGATGGACATCTATATACCTTCTTTGGAAAAATGTCTGTTCATATCCTCTGTGTATTTTTTGATCAGGTTGTTTGTTTTTTTGTTTTTGAGTTGTATGAGTTCTTTGTATATTTTGGAAATTAACCCCTTGTCAGATATATGATTTGCAACTATTTCCTCCCTGTTGGTAGGTTGTCTTTTCGTTTTGTTCATGGTTTCCTTTGCCTTGCAGAAGCTCGTCTGATATAGTCCCATTTGTTTATTTTTTATTTTGTTTCCTATGCTGAGTAGACATTGTATTTGAAAAGATACTGCCAAGACTGTTGTGAAAGAGTGTACTGCCTATATTTTTTTCTAGGAGTTTTATGGTTTCATGTCTTACCCTCCAGTCTTTAATCCATTTTGAATTATTTTTTGTGTATGGTATAAAATAATGGTCTATCATTCTTTTGCATGTGGCTGTGCAGTTTCCCCAAAATCATTTATTGAAGAGACTTTCCTTTCTCCATTGTATGTTCTTTGCTCCTTTGTTGAAGATTAGCATAGATGTGTGGTTTTATGTCTGGGCTTTCAATTCTTTTCTATTGATCTGTGTGTCTGCTTTTGTGCCAGTACCATGCTGTTTTTGTTACTATAGCTTTGTAGTATATTTTGAAGTCAGGGATTGTGATGCCTCTAGCTTTGTTCTTTTTTCTCAGGATTGCTTTAGCTATTTGGGGTCCTTTGTTCTTCCATATAAATTTTAGGATTCTTTGTTCTATTTCCATGAAGAATGCCTTTGGGGGGCCAGCCCCGTGGCTTAGCGGTTAAGTGCGCACGCTCCGCTGCTGGCGGCCCGGGTTCGGATCCCGGGCGCGCACTGACGCACCGCTTCTTCGGCCATGCTGAGGCCGCGTCCCACATACAGCAACTAGAAGGATGTGCAGCTATGACATACACCTGTCTACTGGGGCTTTGGAGGGAAAAAATAAACAAATAAAATCTTTAAAAAAAAAAAAAAGAATGTCTTTGGGATTCTGATAGGGATTACATTGAATCTGTAGATTGCTTTAGGTAATATGGACATTTTAACTATGTTCATTCTTCTAATCGATGTGCTTGGAATATCTTTCCATTTGTTTATGTCTTCTTCGATTTCTTTCAATAATGTCTTATAGTTTTCAGTGTATGGGTCTTTCACCTCCTTGGTTAAATTTGTTCCTAAATATTTTATACTTTTTGTTGCTATTGTAAATGGGATTGTGTTGAGTTCTCTTTCTGCTAGTTCGTTATTAGTGTATAGAAATGCAACTGATTTTTGTCAGTTGATTTTGTACACTGAAACTTTGCTGTGGTTGTTGATTATTTCTAATAGATTTCTGGTGGATTCTTTAGGGTTTTCTAGAATCCTGTTTGTCCACAAACAGGGAGAGTTTCACGTCTTGCTTTCCAATTTGGATACCTTTTATTTCTTTTTCTTGCCTAATTGCTCTGGCCAAAACCTCCAGTACTATGTTGAATAAGAGTGGCAAGAGTAGGCACCCTTGTCTTGTTCCTGTTCTCAGAGGGATGGCTTTCAGTTATTCACTACTGAGTATGATGTTGGCTGTGGGTTTGTCATATATGGCCTTTATTATGTTTCGGTACTTTCCTGCTATACCCATTTTAGTGAGAGTTTTTATCATAAATGGATGTGGGATCTTATCAAATGCTTTCTCTGCATCTATTGAGATGATCATGTGGTTTTTATTCCTCATTTTGTTAACGTGGAGTATCTCATTGATTTTGCGGATGTTGAACCATCCCTGCGTCCCTGCTATAAATCCCACTTGATCGTGGTGTATGATCCTTTTAATGTATTGCTGTATTCAATTTGCCAATATTTTGTTGAGAATTTTTGCATCTATGTTCATCAGCGATGGTGGCCTGTAATTTTCCTTGTTTGTGTTGTCCTTGTCTTGTTTTGGCATCAGGGTGATGTTGGCCTCGTAAAATGTGTTAGGAAGTGTTCTGTCTTCTTTAGTTTTTTGGAATAGTTTGAGAAGGATGGGTATTAACTCTTCTTTGACTGTTTGGTAGAATTCTCCAGAGAAGCCATCTGGTCCTGGACTTTTGTTTTTTGGGAGTTTTATTATTATTATTTTTTTTGTGTGTGAGGAAGATTAGCCCTGAGCTAACATCTGTTGCCCATCCTCCTCTTTTTGCTGAGGAAGACTGGCCCTGGGCTAACATCCATGCCCATCCTCCTCTACTTTATATGGGATGCCACCACAGCATGGCTTGACAAGCGGTGCGTCGGTGCGCACCCGGGATCTGAGCCTGTGAATCCCGGGCCATGGAAGTGGAGTCTGCACACTTAACCACTGTGCCACCGGGCCCGCCCGGGGAGGTTTTTGATTACTGTTTCAATCTCTTTACTTGTGATTGGTCTATTCAGATTCTCTATTTCATCTTGGTTCAGTTTAGGGCAGTTGTACCAGTGTAAGAATTTATCCATTTCTTCTAGGTTATCCACTTTGTTGGCATATAGTTTTTTGTAGTATTCTCTTATAGTTAAAAGTTAAGAGAGTTTTTAAGGAGAGCAACAAAAAGCCATTTTCGCAATGTCCCCAGAGGCCTTGAACTGTGAAGGCCTAGAATGCTTTATTGTCCTTTTTGGTTTGATCCTATCTCTTTAGTTACAGAGATTCTGTAGGAAGAGTTTCCTGTCAGTTTTTACTGGCTTCATCTTTTGTCCTCCTGAGAATGGAGGTCTGTTTGGGTTCAGTGGCTTAGTCTTGTGTTTTGCTGGCCCAACACTGGCCAGTGCAGTTGCATGCCTTTCTTCCATGCTGTAATGGAAATAGAGAAGGCTGGCTAACCTCTTCCTCATGGGACCACTTGCCATTTCCCTCAAGGCACAGGCAGCTCCAGTTCATCTCAGTGTAAATCTGTGGTCTGGTTATGAGTTGTTGGGGGGATTTGTGCCAGCTGCACAGAGAGCCAAGTGTTGCTTGTTTGTCTTTGGTCCCAGACACAAGTTGATCTTTGCCTTGCTGCTGGCTTAGGATATGGCTGGGACCAGGTTGTTCCAGGCTTCTCATAGTTACTCCAAGTTTGTAATATTACTCTGCTTGATAAACTATCTTTTGATGGTTGATGGGGATCAAATAGAGAGTTTTATAATCAGAATGAATTATAAGACACAATCTCCTTTTCAGAATATCTTTGAGAAAAAGAGTAAAAATTCTTATTAATCTGGAATAGTTTAGTTAGAGGCAGAAATTGATTATATCACTCAACTCTGACTCTAGGGTTTTATAATATATCAGTGATGAAATAGTGAAAAGCTTTAAAAATTGCTTTATAACTTGTCTTTTACATATGTGAGCTAATTGTAATCCTGGTCAACTGTATCAAGACTAGGAAAATACTGAATATTTCAAAGAAAATTATCATTGTTTGCATCTAATAAAAATGCCTTTGAGAAGGACATAAAAGAAAGAGTGGGTTTCTTTTCAAATGGAAGTAAGCCAGTGATTTTTCTCATTGTTTTATAATAGGTTTCAACTTAAGACATAAAGCATATTTGTGTAAGCAAAATGTATAATATCAATTTATATAATGTCAATTTTCCCTATAAAAATGTTTTTGAACTTGCATGTCTATACACACCACACATATGCCCAGAGACTAATACTTAGAGGGGATTGCCTATTAATGTTTCTCTTTCTTTCTCTTTTTTAACAGGGCCTAATTGTTCAGATTTGAAGCAGCCTATGTACTTAGGATTTGAAAAAGATGTCTTTAAAACTATAGCAGATTACTATGGTCACTTGAAAGAGCCTTTGCTTACATTTCATCTTTTTGATGCCTTTGTCAGTGTATTAGGTAAGTTGGAATATAGTGAGCATATGTCTGCTTTATTGATATTGAATCATTTCATTTTTCACTATCTTGAGACTTGCATAAGCCAAACCTCCATAGTGTTTTTGAAATAAAAGCTGATGGGGTGCTTGCCTAGTTGGAGTCCTGCTCTATGAAGGATGAAAAGAAAATGGTTAAGCTCTATTATGAAACTGAAAGCTAGGATCAATAGTTTTTATTTCTTAAGAAAGAATAATGCGTTATGTGTCACTTTTGTACAAAAAAGTATAACTTTATTGGTAGAGAAGAATGTAAATTTGACATTTACTGTTCATGAGTAAATCTGCTACTCTGGATATGACTTCATGAACAGTCAAGTATGGGAGATGTATTTTCATTTAGAAATCTAATTTCTTTTTATAGAAGGAACAGGTTTTTGTAGGACTATTTGTTATTTGTGACATGTAATATAGTAAATTTATCATTCTCTAAAATTTGTTGCTGTTTCTCACATAGATTTATACTTCAGAATTTACGCTGTCAAAGAAACATAGTAAAAAGGAAAAACATCAGCATTATTGCTATAGGTCTTTCTGATGTCGTTCCTTTCTTCTTGCAAATCAGATTTTCCTGTTGCTGTTGTGATTGTTCAATAAGTATTATTGTTTTCTTGTCAACAGGTTTGCTTTAATGATCAAACCATTGTGTGGGTATCATACTCTGTTATGTAAATCTGCAGGAATTAGCATACTCTTGATTTTGAGTATTGTGGGGTTTGGCAATCTTCCCCTTCCCTTCTCTTCCCTTTCTCCTTCTTTCTATCTTATTTTCTTCTTGGAGAGTATGGATGCTGCCATAGTATCCTAATAAAGTGTCAGCAATATGTAAATAATTTACCTGATCTCATAGCACAATACTTTAAATTTTAAGATTTTGTAGGTTTTCTGATAATAAGAAACAAAATACAACAATTTAAAATTATGTACTTAAGAGTGAGTTTGTTTTCAGAGAGTCTAATATTGGGAACCGATGAAGGGATTGGGCCTATTACTGGGTTTTGAGACCTCTGGGTCTTCTTGGTATTTTGTTTTCAACCAAGGAGGATTGGGGGCTAGCGTACTTGAGAACATTGTGCCTAATGATGAATACTTGCTGTTGTTTAATGTGCATATGGGCTAATTGAATAGATTCTCCTTATAGCCACTTACTACCATTATGCCACTGGTAAAAGAAGAACTCTCAAGACTGGATTAAAAATCACTTCTTAGATTTTCGTCTCATTTTCCATTTTCGTAATGTTCTATGGTAAAATTATCTGATTTGGAAACAAAAGAACTTGGAACTTTTTTTAAAAAATGAATTTCAATTTGAATCAGTTATGTTTATGATGTCACGGGTCTATTCTACCACAATTGTTTATTTCCATCTTAGCTAGGAATTAAAACTAGTTATTTCCAAATTGATGTCAGAGTCAGCCACCCTCTAAAATATCATCTGTAGAGGATTTGGAGTGGAGAAGGATGGATAGAATGGAGAATTTATTGCACTTAGGTATCAGCAACAATAGATTAATACATGTGGATGGTCACAATATATTAACCTTCCCTGGTCTAGTCCTTCTCAAGTGAGTATATTTGAGGCACCTTGTATTAAAAACTGTATTTTTTAGATCCTTTATATAGTGAAAGATGAAAGTCTTCTAGATTATGGAAGACCATAATTTGTTTATATGATTAACAAAGATTATCTAATAGAGCAATCTGGTTAGAATCGTGGGAAAAGGTATCATATCTAGGTATATACAAACTAGACACGTAGGTTGAATGCTAGTAGGGGTTGACTCATTCCTTAAACCATTTGACTGACTTTGATTGGCATAGGATGCCATTAGAAAAAAAATATATATTTTTTTTGGTGAGGAAGATTGGCCCTGAGCTAACATCCATTGCCAATCTTCCTCTTTTTGTTGAGGAAGACTGGCCCTGGGCTAACATCCGTGCCCATCTTCCCCTATTTTGTATATGGGATGCCTCCACAGCATGGCTTGATGAGTGGCGTGTAGGTCCACCCCTGGGATCCGAAACTGTGAACACCCTGGGGCGCCAAAGCAGAGCACACAAACTTAACCACTATGCCACGGGGCCGACCCTGATAAAATATTTTAAAGTAGGTAATCAGTCTTCTTTGTGTAGAAGCTGAAAATTCTATATAATTTTCAATGGAAATGATTTTCAGTTTAGTTAATCAATTTCTTTTGAGGTTTATTCTTTTGCTTCTAGCACGAAATAATGCTAGCTTGATGCCAAAACTGTGACCCTGAGAGCAGTTAGTCATTACTGATACATGAAACAGGACATCTAAGAGTTCTTAAAGAAAAATGAAAAAAAAGACATTTTTGGAGATGCAAGACATTTTCTTTACTTACAATTTAAAAAATGATTTAATTTGGCTCAGCAGTCTGACTTAACAACATAACTATCCAAAATAGCAATTCCTTGTATTAAGATCAGAGTCCAGCTGACTCTTGAATGGGGTGAATGAGATAGTATAGCATCCTTTACTCACACTCCACACGCATCCTAGAATCCATTGAGCTGTGTAGCTTGCAATAATTTGGCATATTTAGGAAAATGGGAGGCAGATAGGAAGCACAAAAAGGCAAGGGAAGAGTGTTTTGGAAAATTGGGTGACTTGCGGGTTGTATAATGTTATAATCTGAGACCCCACACTGGTGATCTGTGGGCCAAATCTGGCTCATAAATGCATCTGGTTTGACCTGTGTGTTTTAAAAAGAAAATTTAATTAATTGCCAAACTTTAAGAAACAGGAAATTCATGCAAGAATTCATATTTTGGGCTTCTTTAGAAAAATTGGAAGATCTAGTGGCTCTAGGCTTGGATCTTCAGGGGCACAAACTGCTGCAGCTGGATAGTGAGGCCTCCATGAGAAGAAGCAAGCGTCTCGGGGATGTGAACTCCAACCCACCAGGTCTCCAGTGCTCCCCATCACTTTTCAGACTCTGAAGCCAGGTTCACTTGACCCCTTTGCTCATTTATTCCATTTGTCTCCTGTAGGCAGTTGAGCTTGCGACTCTTGGTTTATTTGCTAGTAGGTGGTAAGACTGAGAGTGTAGCTCTTTGCTGTTCCCTTCCTCCTAAATGTTAAGTTTAGAAAATGACATTGACATTCACTAGACTGATCGTACACTGGATCATCTAACTCAATAGGTTGAGATCTGTTTTTTTTTTTTTTTGAGGAAGATTGGCCCCGTGCTAGCGTCTGTTGCCAATCTTCCTCTTTTTTCTTTTGTCTCCCCAAAGCCCCAGTACATAGTTGTGTATCATAGTTGGAGAGTTGTAGCTCTTCTATATGGGATGCTGCCTCAGCATGGCTTGATGAGTGATGAGTAGGTCCTCACCCAGGATCCGAACTGGCAACCCTGGGCCACCAAAGAGGAAGGCGTGAACTTAATTGCTATCCACTGGGCCGGCTGCTCTCCTATGTTTTTTAACCTAGAAATATCCATGAGGTTAGATTTTCCATTCTCTGGTTCTTTTGTCTAGTGACTTCTAGGACATCCTCTGGAGCTGTGCACCATCTTTGCCTTGTTACCTCTCTGCACTTATGTTCTTCACGTTCTCTTGGGGTTCCTATCCCATGGTAATTCTTAAGGGAAAACCATCCTTTTTTTCAGAGAATGCCTAGTTGATGCGCTTGACCAGTCAGAGGGCTCTTTCCCATGTTAGTCCACAGTTCTTGCTGGTGGTGCTCTCTGCTCTCAGGGCCCAGGGCTTATGGCTGGAGCTTTTGAACATGCAGATGGGCCAAGGTAAGGATGCTGAATCACCTCCAAATTTAATGAGTACTGTTGTGTCAAGCTTGTTGGAATAAAGTGGACTTAGGTACTCCTTGAAGATGGAAATTTAGTGAAATGCCTAGGTAGTCTCTGGCTGTAACTAAATACAAAAGCTATTTATAAGTATACCAGTAATCACTAGGATAATTGACAAAGCTTTTGAGAAAAAACTTTAAGACCTTTCTCATACCGTTCAGCAGATAGATTCTAGCTGGGTGAGAGAATTAAATGTAAAAAATGCAAACCTAAAATACACTTGATATTTATCTGTTGTTGAAGTGGGTGAAGGACTTTCTAAGCATAAAAGCAAAATAAGTCATAAAAATGCTATAGCAGTTTGGAACTCTTCATGTGGGAAAGGGCATCATCTTGTGCGTGGGTGAATCTATAACTACTTTTAAGCAATTCACAAAGGCGACTTGTTTTCCTTTCCTTACAAGCCTCTGGAGAAATAGTCCCTCTTGCTGTGTCTTTCTTTAGGCAGGGAGTTCTTGCCAATTGATGTGTAGTCTGAATTCCTTCAGCTTAGTATAAACCTCCTTTTTATACCTCTTCTCAGTGAAAATGAAACTGTGACATATTTTTTTATTCCTTTGGTTGTTCGAAAACTACAATGAACCCTTCTTGAGTCTCTTATTCTCTGGCTGAACAGACATGGTCCCTCTGGCCTTTTTGGGAACTCCAGACCCTCTCAAAAGTCTTCGTATTTCTCTTCTTTTTTGAAGCTCCCGTAAGGAATAGCTTATTGTTAAGATTGCGGAAGTTAGTGGAATAATCAGGTCTACTTTTCTTTTCTTTTTTTTTTTTTATAATTTTATTTATTTATTTTTCTCCCCAAAAGCCCCAGTAGATAGTTGTATGTCATAGCTGCACATCCTTCTAGTTGCTGTATGTGGGACGCGGCCTCAGCATGGCCAGAGAAGCAGTGCATCGGTGCACACCCGAGATCCGAACCCCGGGCCGCCAGCAGCGGAGCGCACGCACTTAACCGCTAAGCCATGGGGCCGGCCCAGGTCTACTTTTCAAAAATGAAAATTTGTGTTATTAATGGTTTGAAAATAGAAATCTGATGTAACCTTCTGGGGAATGGGAGGGAGGATGACAAAGGTAGGTGTCACACAAAGCACTGAACAATCCTGAACCTGTCACACGGTCATCAGGGCTGAAG